AAGGAGAGAAATTGACGTTTCCACGCTCATAGAAAAGAGAAAGAGAGAAAGAAAAAGAAACGAATCACCGCGCGCGGATACTCGATTCCGGTGTATTTGGACGGAGTAAATGTTAGATTTTCAAAGCAATCTGTTTTAATATAAAGCTAAACGATGTATGAGGTAATCGACGATGTAGAATAGAATATACATTCATTATGATATACATATATAAATATATGCCCTATGTAACATTCGGTCAATATACATAAGATACGTTACATTGTGTGTAATGTTACAGTAAGGTAAGCATCCCACCTAAGGTATAAAAGAATGTAATAGTCTATGTTTTTCATATACATACATACATACACACACTCAGTTTATCGTAGATAAACCTAGGACGTAAAGAAAAGTAAAAGATAATTCGTAATACCTAAATAATTATATAATACAGCTCGGTTTCGAATAAAACGTTTCAAGTCAGTGTATAAACAAAAAAAAAGGGAGGGGGGAAATGAATTTTTTAATTTCGACGAATCCGTGTAAACTGCCATGACTTAAAAAAGAAATGTATATTTCACTTTTACCGAAACGGTGTGTATTTTCAGTTTTTCGTGACGGAAATATATTAACAAAATTACTAAAAAGAATGGAGAGTACAATATGATGTCCGATTCCAGCACGAAGAGAAAGGAAGATAAGAGGATATATATTAATTAATTGGATCACGTCATGCGTGCGATAGTCGAGGAGATGTGCCCGTGCTTGTAATAATATAATTATGACACACAAACATGCACGTCGGGTGTGTCGAAACACTGCTGACGTCCGTTCAATCAGCGAGCTCCCGGGTACAGACGTCGGAAGTGATTTTTATCGTGCGCTTTGCTAATATTATCTCTGTTGTTATTATATGTTTAGTCTGACTTTTCGAAACACGAATTGTAAGTGCTAGGCTGATACGACCTACACGTGTGCGTGCGTGTGCGTACCCTCGCTGGCACGCGGACAACATCGTGTCCAAAACGCGGACGTAAGAGACGTCTTGTGTCCACATTTTGGACGTATACTATCTCGTCTGGGGTATTTATCTCGCTCCGAGTAGTTTTTTCGATTAGAAAAATCTTATCTCCCGAGTACATTCGTCGAAATCGCGCGAATTTTCGCCCAATCTGAGCGCCTCGCCGATGACGCACGTGTTATCAGTGATATCATTATCGTCGTATATGTGACGGCATATACCATACACCCGCGCCTGAAGTACACACATACATACATACGTCGTGTACCGCGTTGTTCTATTTTTGACTTATTGGCGAAAACAAGAGAATCATAAAGGCGAGATCGCGCGCGTCCCGTTCGATACAGGAGACGCGTGCACGCACACGCGTACGCGCACGCCGCGAGGAGGAAAATAAGCTATTTGAATAGATGATAAGGCGTATATAAGCGTTTATGCGATAACAAAATAAACGAGCTGATGCGGATATCGTTGTGTAGCGTGAAGACGAGGACTTTGCTCCGCGACGCGCCGCCGTATCTAAATTGCAACTTAGCGGAAATTCCAATAGCGATCGACATAAATAATGACCTATAATCGGCGATGTAATCTATATGCGCGAAATTTCTGCATTCTGCGTTCTGCTCGAAAGGCAATTTCATATTTGCGTGAGCTGATTTTACAATTACCCAGACTTCACAAATGTCCGAGGGACGCTGCGAGAACGTCCTCTCGAAGGATTTTTTCAAATATCATTTATAGATATTCTCCAATATAACGTTTTTCGATCTTTGAGACGGCATTCAAGCATTTCCTGGGCGTCTCAAGTTTTTGAAGGTGCCGCTTAGATTTATAGGTGTCCTAAATTTTTTAAATATTGTTCAGGTACTGTACTTTCGGATGTTTTTCGGCGCCTTTTATAGATATCTTTTAGATATTGTTTAGAAACGTCCTAAATTTTGGAGACGTTGGTTAGACACTTTGTAGACATTCGAAATTTTTGATGTTATTTAGCTATCTTTTTACGATGTCGTCCAGACATTTTTTTGTGTCGTTTGGGTACGAGACGCTATTGTCTGATATTGTTATCGGGAATTTATTTAATGATAGAAGTAGCGAAAATTATTTAATAATGCGTCGAGAACGCGTCGCGCGAGCTCCAAGAAGAAAGAAGGAAGGCTAACAAGATCTTTTTGTATAATATGCCGCAGTACCTATAGTTTATTTTCTCAATATTATATATAGTATACAATTATATATATATAAATTCATATGTATAATAATATATATAGTTATATATTATATGTAATTATAATATATATATTATATATATATATAAATATTATATATAATTCATATATAATTATTTATATATATATGCTCTTATTTATTTCGTTGATCCGCAAAGACTATGTCGAGTATTAGAGTAAAAGAATATCTCGCGACTGTGCGCTAGGATTTATAACTCTTAAGAACTCCAACGTGTCATTGAACTACACACAACAAAGTGCAATACGAAAGTACAAAGTCTGACCTCCTGTTCTCTCGAATTTTGTAAATCCCCTCCCACGGAGAGGGAGAGAGAAGAAGAAGAAGAAGAAACGAAGAGAAATCGATCGATCGCTCCTCTTTAAGTGTTCTACTCCGTCGCGATTGTAAGAATCGCGATGGTGCATCTAATAAATTAGCGACGATGAGCGCTCTGGCTCTCTTTCGCAGCTCATACGTGATCTTATCCACCGTGATCGTATCTGCACTGCGATAAATTTACCCCGATAATACAGTGAAACTCCATTTTATAAGAGCTCGGCCCGTTCGTTCTCGAAGTTTCATCTTCGCCGTGGATATGTAGTTACGCTGTATTATTTAAAAAAAAATAGGAACGATTTTGTACCAAATCGATTTTGTACCTATTTCACAGCCATATACACTTTACACACACATATATACACACACTCATAAGGGCATACATATATAGGGTAGTTCTTATAAGTAAAGAGAGAGATTTTAAAAGACTTTAAGCCTTATATTAATTCCAGATAAAAACTTCATATGTTCGAAAATTGATTTAGTTTAAAAGTTACAAGATGTCAAAGGAAAAAATTGTGTTTTCAAAACCGTTCAGCGTAATTTTGATGAAACATTGTTTATGTATCAAGAACATTAAATTAATTCGAGTGTTTTTCGAAATTTTTCCTTCGACTCTGATACCTTGTTTTTTTTTTTTTTTTTAATAAATCATTTTAGACATATGTGAAGCTTTTATCTGGAATTAAAGCGAAAAATGATTCCTTAAAATCTTTTAAAATACTAAAGGACCATCCTGTATACACATGAACACATACAAACGATCCTTCGTTAGAATCTCGCGATTTCTGTACGCCTGAAGCATACGAGTATAGTATATATAGAAGCATTTCTACGGTCTCATATTAACCGAAGTTAACGTTAATGGTACCTAAGTAGTCGATCCGCAAATCTAATTATTAAATATTCGGCACAATTACGACATAATTGTACATATATATACGAATATTTTCCAGAAAGAGATGAAAAAACCAAGTAATACCCGCAATTGTTAAGCATAAGTCAGAAGAGCTCTGTTATATAGGCAAGAACGAATATACCACCGTCGTTTATATTAATTGAATACAATAAAAGCAAGTTTCGAGCAAGATCTGTGTACGTCTCACTTTGTGTCGTTTACCACAATTTCTCTCCGTATTAGTAATTTTTAAGTTCAATGAAAATAAAATTCGGATTTTTTTATGTATCTATCTGATTAGACAATGAATAAAAAATATCTTTTATCATTAAAAAAAAAATTTAATTAAAAGGAAAGATAATTTTTGGATAATTATTACTTTCTATTATTTTTTCTTTTTTTTTTTATTATACACGTTTATTATATTATTAGTATATTCTTTATTCAACTATTATATTATTGAAAGAAAGAAATGCTCTTTCTCTCTCTCTCTCTCTCTCTCTCTTTATATATTGTCTTAAAAAAAAAAAACTTTTATATAAAATCTTTATTTTTCATTTGTATCATTATTTCATTTCGAATTATATGCGCTTTAAAGTATTTATATTTACAAAAATGTTCTCTTTGCAAACTGCGTTCAACAGAAAAAGCAGTTTAAAAGTCTTAAATATGATTGGTTTATACGTTTAGATCCAGTGAGGAGCTATAAGGGCAAGACCAATTATATTAATAATGAATTTTACAGTTGCTAAGCTGCTTTTTTTGCTGAACGCAGCCTTCATTTATATCAATCAGAGAAGAGGTTAGGCAAGAGTCGAAGACACGCAGCTTTCGACAAGGATGCCGTTTCAGCTCCGTTAATAAAATGAAGAAGTACATGACGCAGGCGCGTACAAGGTCCTCTCGATGCCGTCCAAAAATCGTCAAAGTTATTAGGAAAACCAAAGCGGCTAGGAGGTTACAAGAGGTGACACGATTCAAATCTCCCGCCCTCTAAGGAATTATAATTCAGAAGAGGTGAGCTACGCGAATTCGAATTTTGAAATTTAGGTTGGAGAACGTGGGGCGCGAAATTTGAATGGGATTTTAGTTCTGCCACTTCTCGTAATCTTCTCGAGCGGTATATTTTCCTGATAACTGATGGTCGCTTCTCGATGCTCCGGAGCGGTGCACTTCGGCGACGAGTATCACTTTCTCTCACTTAACCTAAAATCTTTTCGCGTAGATAAGGTAAATTTACATAAATGGAGATATTTTAAAACGTAATTAAAAATTAAAATACATCAGGCTAAGTTTTTAGACAACATTACGGCTGATGGCTCGCTCATTGATTGCAAACCATCTGTTTTATACTGCTACTGCGTATGATGTATGTCTTCGTCATTATCAATTGTTATATGTATCAATAAAAGTTATTATTATTATTGTAACATACCGTATCTCTGTCTGTTTACATGCTACAAACATCGCTTTTTGGTTCTCCGTGTAAAAATCAAGTCAAAGCAGACTAGTCTATCGAAAAATACAGATGCAATTTCTGCCCGACCATTTTCTCGACAGAAGGGTGTAGACGCAGAATTTATGCAGTATATATTATTTGTGAAATTCTATCAGAAGTACAACAAATCGTGTCGATGAAGAAATTAAATCAAGTAGCATAATTTATTAACGGATTGAACAGAAATCTAGTGGCATATATGAGCGTTGACAGATACTGTCATGTTTTACATATCTGATCGACAAACATCGATCAATACTTGCTTACTGATACTCTTGATTTGCAAGCTAATAAAGTTTAAGGAGAGAATAATTATTTTCTGCTTCAATTTGTTTTGTGTTGATAGAATTCGCTTATTGGACCTAACAGCGCAGTGTATGTTCCTATCTTTCAAAATATGTGTAAATTATATTAGAAATAAAAAACAAAAGGAAAGTATAAGGATCGAGAAAGTAAAAGAAAAACTTGTCGCAGTCATTCAGAAAAATATAAAGATAAGATTATTCTTTCTATAAAACGAATTATTTCCTTATTTCAATCAATTAATTTTATTTTTATTTTTACTAATTATTATATATATATGTTATAATTATATTATTCTTATACGCGTCTACCTTTATTTTACTAACAAGGACATTATATTTTTACTATTGCAACATCTTATTCATTTATCTGATGCAAATCTTCTCCCCGAAAGCGCAGCACTGAGATCTCGTCCGAATTATAATCATGAAAATTTAACGGGAACGTCACGTCGGGAACCACGATCTCGTATCATCATCCCGTAGCGCTCTCTACCTGCTATGTCCAAGATTAATGCACAATTGCGGCCACGGAGAGTCCTGGGCCCCTGAGGACCCGTGAGAACCCGACGGTGGACGAGAGAGAACGCGGAGAACGTGTCCGCTCGCCGTTGCGAGAGGTGTGTGCCTCGCGGTTCCTTCGCGGTCGCACGGCGCGGCGGCCAGATTTTAATATCCGAGACAAATTCTCTCTCCTCGGCATTGCATCCTTCCGCGTCGGAATCCCCTGTCCTCTTGGAGTAACACATATACATAATATACGCATATATGTGTGTATTATATATATATACACAGCTGCGGCGAGAGATCGCCCGTGCATTCCGCAGAAGGCGAGTGGTTGCCGTGCTGGAGATGTGAGAGATTCCGGAGCAGACTCCGCGAACGAACCACACAGAATGGCTTTCCTGTGCCCCGTACGCATACGTCGCGGAAAGAAGAAGAAACGTAAGTAAACGGCACGATCGAGCCTGTATAGGAAATGTGCAAGAGAGAGGAAACAAGACGGAGAGAGAGAGAGAGAGAGAGAGAGAGATGGGAAGCTCGAGAGGGCATGGCAGTTTGGTCGCAAGGGCCAGTTGTCACATTCAGCCCGATCACCTGTTGCTCGGGACCGGTTATGCAGCTTCCACCCCGTAGCCTCTGCGAAGCGAGCCGGGCCGAGTTCATGCATCGGTTACACGCGACTTTCGATTTTTCTCTCCGTTGGAAAATGTGAAATCGTCTTTTTTATACAAATGTCACGTTTTCAAGTGGATTATTTTCTTATTTACTGTAGCTCTTTCGCGAATTGTGTCTTGTAGAAGCATGAATTATCATCGTCGAGTAATTTTTGTATACACACATCTTGTAAGCATACGTTGAAATGATTCTTCTTGTAACTTTGGGAATTCCTCTTTCTTTCAGAAATAATTTTGTTATTGTTTACAAATGTGTATATTTATATTTATATATAGTAACGTATAAATTGTATAAAATTGTAAAGTTCTTAAAAGTATCGATTTTATTCTTTTAAAAGCTCTCTGTGTAAATTCATTTACATTGATAAATTTTCAATTCCAAACAGCCGGAACACATAACTTTAATTTGGAGAAAGACTGTGGGACAGGTGGCAGTGGGCTTGGTCTGGGTACCAGAGTGCCATTACCCCCAGGTCGGATAACTGGAAGTGCAAGTATTGAAACCCTTGTAAGAGTTGGTATTGAAAAGGAGAATGGACTCTCTCCGGACAGTAAAATGGTCATTGTGCATGACTTTACTCCCTGTGTGGACGATGAACTTCAAGTCAAAAGAGGCCAGGTTAGCAACTGATTGCATTGCGTTCTACAACAGATCTATGTATTACAAGCGGCATGCTATTTATATATTCCTTATGTAGCAACTTCTATAATACATATAATCTGTATGTTTACTCCTTTTACCTCAGTTTTATTTTAATTTGTCAAGAGTCCTCATTATTCTTATTCGAGTCCTTTTTACTTTATCTTTTGCTTACAAATTATTATACAATAACAAACATTAAATAATTATGTTTGTTAAAAAAAAAAATTGTTATACTAATGTAGGAATCTTCACGTTTCAGGTAGTGAATGTACTTTACAGAGAAAACGATTGGGTATATGTAATAGCGGCGGACACGCGTATGGAAGGCTTCGTACCACACTCGTATTGTGCGCCATACACGTCGCAACTGGCGGAATTGACGCTGGCCAATCTGAACAATGTGAAGAAGAAGCTGCCGCGGTCTAATGAAAATGACTGTGATCTTCTTAGTACGGGCCGTCTGCAGGAGGCACAACAGACCGATACCGGATCGGCCTCGGATTGTGAAAGCTATGCACGAAATAACATTACTACCGCGGATGTCAACGTCAATCGCTCCAACATCACGCAGTCCCAGAATTCTATACAGACAATATCGTCCCAGCCAGATGTACATCCCTTCTTCAAGGTACCAATTGACTAGCCGAGTGTCATAAAAGTACCTAATTCTTAATTCAATATATTTCTGAGTCTTCTTCACTCAACACTATATAAATTAAATAACTCACAGACTCAGAATCAATATTACCAGATATAGGCTTCTATTTCGGAGGGTGAAAATTTAATTAGAATTTTTTACAAATTAAAAATATTAATTGGATCAGTAAGGTATTGACAATTGTGAATCAGGTATTTTGTTATGACACTCATTTATCTCGTTTGACTCATCAACGAGAAATTCTACTGTGCGCAGGATCCATCAGCCGGAAGATACATTGTTCTTTACACCTTCGTGGCACGTGACGAAAACGATGTCAGTGTCGAGAGAGGTGAATTCGTAACTGTGTTGAATCGCGACGATCCGGATTGGTTTTGGGTGCTCCGACATTGCGACGGCAATGAGGGTTTTGTACCGTCCGGTTTCGTTTATCCTGGTCACGTTCTTCATTCTTATGCAACAGCCACTACGACGGCCACCACTGCCTCTACAAATACAGTGTCTACAGATGCTCACAGTCCAGGTTGGCTTTTTATTATACCATTACATCATGCAACCGTTAAATCATCTCTAAATTTTAAACAAATTTTCTAGAATATATATATATATATGTATATGTCAGTGATAGGAGTTCAATGGAGTTTTGTAATTTCTAATAGAACTACATTTGTTATCAACCTTTCATAATTATTAATTTAACAGTGTTCATTTTACAGGTAAAGGTACGGGAGGCGAGTCGTTACAGCAAAAGGGAGTGCGAGATTTCCGGGACGAAACGACCGGTACGGAGTTAGTGGTGCTTTACGATTACAAAGCACAGGCACCGGACGATCTATCGGTGAAACGGGCCGATTGGATATATGCAGATCTGGGAAATCAAACAGTGGATGGTTGGCTCTGGGCCTACGCGCCCAAAACCCGCAAGTACGGTTTTATTCCTAAAGCGTACGCGCGACCCCCTGCCATGACTAGCTTATAATTCGAACTGAAGAAAAAACTCGTCTGACTTTTTTAAATAAGTCTGCAATACTACTTTTGTACCGTCTTTTTATATATTGTATGTCGTTAAATATGTACTAAGAGCGAGATAATTAATATTTTATTTAAATATGTATATCAGATTACTAGCTCGATGCAATTCTGAAAAATGAATTTAGTTGATTAGATTAAGAATGATATTTTTAAGAAATAAATAAGAGATTATTGCGCGATACAAGACGCAATTTCTTCAAATCTTTCATTTGCTTTGTCCACTCTTTCTATATGGTCCCGATTTATATTGAATGAGCTTACATTTTTAAAACAGTTATTTCAGAAACAAAGAAATATATGTGTTAACAGAGCACACGTTTAATGTACAATAACATTTACATTGAGACTGGTATAGCCAGAGGTGATATGATTGATTAATCCCTCGTGGAGAACTATACAATCACCACCCAAGAAGACGTCACGTGGACATTGGGCGATTCTCAGGGACGTCACAGGTCCTGTGTACGTGAGCGAACGAAATCCGCCGTTCTCGATGCTATCGATAGCCTATTAAATCCTTCATTATTATCTATCTTTAAGCACTGATACACGTTTTCTTATACGCGCGAATCGATATGGCGAATACCTGGATACTACACCGAAGTCTGTCAGTTGTGTCGCCGACGTCTAATCCCGCCACCCAGGCAATGATCATATCCTTCTCGCACTGGCCCTCTCCGCCGGCGTGCATCTCTTCACGACACACGTAATTGTGATTACTGTGCAGACGCGCTGCCAACACCGGCAGAGGCAATCGATTCCGATACTTAGGATTTATTTGAATACTACTGAACAGCCTCGCTGAGGAATCTCTTATTATTACAAAAATTTCTGCGATTAGTGGTTGAGTTAAGCACGTTTATAACATTAAGGGCCAATTTCACCAACGTCGGTTAAGCTAACCGACGGTTAATTCCAATAGAATTATCCAATCGCATTTGTCTTTGACCAAAATGAACCAATCACGGTTGATACTTTAATCGTCGGTTAGCTTAATCGATGTTGGTGAAATTGGCCTTAAGTGTTAATATTGTACGGTTTCATCTAAGAAATTTCTCTTTCTTAATTTTAAATCAAATTCTTATTTGATATTTTTGATTAAAAGAGATCACTTGTTTTAGGAGATAAGAAATAAGGAATTAGGAATATATATTGAATGTACCAACTTTGTGTAATGTTTAAACTATAGTAGTATACTAACGAGAGTTTTCCGGATACCAGTAAGAGAGCTAAACATCGACTGGAGTTGCAGGAAAGAGCTCCATAGCTGATGATGAGTGTGCTCTCGGTGCCAGGTTCGACACTGAGGACGGGTACTTCGGGATGATCGAAAAGGAAATGATGAGTTAGAGCCGAGAAAGCGACGTTCACAGAACAGTCTAGACGTGGGCAACGTATGGGTCTGCGGGAGCAGTCGACCAAAGAGGGACTTTTGACCTTAATCTCAGAGGAGTATTGATCCACTGCGCTATTTCTCCTTGACGTCGTTGTCATTCGATTGCAATAATCATGTTGTTGTTGATACTGTTTCCCGCAATTTTTCACTTGTTCCTCTCGTCGCAGATTACTTTGATCGCGATCAGCGACAAATGAAACGGCATCCGATTCGTAATCTAACGTTTTGTTATTCCTTTCGCCGGATACCGTTCTATTGAAGTTACAAGTCCACTGATTGCGATGCGGATCGTATGTTCTCGAACGTATGCTGTGATTGCTGTCTCTACCTTGAAAGAAATTCGTGTGCGATCTTCGAGGTTGAGGATGTTCCGCAACTAAAAGATACATTTCTCATTTTATACAATACTTAATTATTATCAAAAGCAATAATTAATCGCGCGTTTACCGATTGATTAATTATCGTCACTTGAATAATTATTTAGAGATTTATAAATGTTTAAGATTTTCTAAAAATTTTTCTATTTTTTGAAACGCGCGCGTTGATTTTTTTTCGCTGCAGAAGAAAAAATAAATACTGCAAGGCTATCTAATTTGAGAGATAAGAGCTATCATGTGATATGAGTTATTTTAAATCGTGACTAGAATTATGAACTTAGTGACCGTGAAACATTTTCCTAATTTTTAAATAGTGTAATGATTTGGATAATTTTATGTTTCACAATTTTATTTTTCACTATTTTGTTTTATTCATGTAGATTAATTGTTGCAATATATTTATGCAAAGTTCAAGTATTGCAATTTTTATATATAGTTAAAAATTTTTAAACTTTTAAAACTAATAATAAAAAAAATGTTAGTGCCTCATATATTTCTTTAGCATCACAAAAATATATCGTGTTATGAATTAAAGAGACATATGTTAAATATGTGTTGGACAAAAAAATGTTCCGACTCTCATAACTTTCTTTAGGGGGGTTCTTACATATATTAATAGTTATGGATGGATATTTTATTGACCTGATCGAATTGAAAAGTTTCGTACACAATGATGACATAACAAGTAGCCTTCGGAACAGTGTTGATTCTGTTCGGAGTTGGCGACGGTTCCGCCAAGATTCGCGTCGTTAATGATAACGTGACAAATCGCGCACTGTTCAATCTGCGCAGTTTCCTGCTTATTTTCATTTACTTCTTCTTGGTTCGTATCTACTTTCTGAACTTTTACATCTTCCTCTTCGTCGATTTCCTGTTCTTCTTCTTCTGCTTCGCCCTCCGTAGCTTCGCTAGAAAATTCTTTCCTTTTTTGCATTCTGTTTTCGTAATCCGAATGTTTTCGAACGAGATGGTGATAATTTAATCCCTACAATGCGAAAATTTATCAAAATAATTGTTAATATACTAACTATATATTTATCATACCGTTAACATCGGTAAATAATATTTATAATAATTAAATTTTGCAAAGTCTGTTTACAAAATTTACTTCTATGTAAATTCAAAGGAACTATACTCATGATTATGATTAATAAGAAAAAAGTAGACCGGATTGCATTCGTGAAAGTTATGTAAAAAAAAAGTAAGGGTGTATAATCTCTTTTATCAAATAAATTTTGTGATAAGCGAGTGCAATTTGCATCTTTGTTGTCCGCAGTCTCGTGCGTACAGATATCACATGCCTTGCGATGATTATTTGTCACGCGGCCGTCGGCTTTGGCGGTTTTATAATCGATCCTCTCGTTGTCCATTTCTTCGCAAAGCTTCGTCGACAGTTCTTATCACCGTATTGATAACCTTTCGTTGATGACGTGCGTCTTAATGATCAGCCGATCTTCGCCACGAGCGTCTAACATAACAAGCAAGATTGCAGTTTCCGGCGTCTGAAACTCAACTTGCATATGTCATGCAAAACATTTTTATGAATGCACGTATTTTTCTCTTTGATAAAATTATTAATAATTTCATGATAGTTTAATAATATACACACATCATCATATTTCTCTTGATGACTTTGTTATTTTTTACATTACGTATCTCTGTAACTGAACTCTTTGTTAAAGTTAAAATTTATTGAGTTAAATTCATATCAATTGAGACTAATTGAAAAAATATACCTATACTCACAAGACTAATTTATCGTAAATATTACTTTACTCGCTATTTTTAGATAATATATCTACTTAACTTTGCTAATTGACTGAAAATTAAGCAAGCAATTATCATTGAGCCATGGCATATATCATTATTATATTAAGCATTATACTGATTATACCCTATCTTCTACAAAAAATGATCAACTTACCCAGATCAAAAAAAAAGAACTAATTTTCTTTCCTGATAATTATAATTTCTGTGGAATTTAAAGAAGAAATATTGTATATTGTACAGCAAGACGAATCTTTTGAATTGCCGAAATGATTCGTGACACAATAAATTATTTGACAACCGAATGAACTTCAATTGACAAGCGTTCTCGATTCGCTGTAATTTAGTCTAAGAGAATTTACACTCGTCAAAGCCAGAAAATGCTCGATACGCCACGGTATTTAGATCAGATGTATAAAGCCATCTTGACGTCTCTCGGAACAAAAAAGAAACAGATCGCAACGATATCAGCGTAATATCGTTGCAAGAAAATTCGATGCCCGATTTATCGTGCTTTTCTCCCACAAGTCTTAAAAATCGTTCCAAACTTAATTTATATAGAATCTGTTTTTTACATTGGCACGATATAAAGCCATTGACCTTTAGCGCCCGTTGTGTACAATCGATGCGCTCTGCCTCGATATCTATCTGTTTGTGCGAAATATGTCCGATACGTAGATATCTGTTATCTATGATACAGCTATGCTTTTTGAAGTTATGAATTAAAAGCAGGCCGATATAACCGTCGAAGCTTTTACATCATCGTCATAAAAAAGCGTATCTTGCAAAACAAGATAATTTTTTAATATTAAATACCACGACAGTAAGTCACTGGTCGCGTGAATAAGATACACATGTAAATGCTCGTTAAGAAACACGTGTTTTATTAAAAAAGCACATATTAAAAGATTAGAAAATAGTAAAGGATACGATGCGTACATCGCCTGGTCGGTTTATAACAGCAAGTATATGCTTAATTGGAACTGTGAGCGTAGATTTATATTTAATTAATCGTGCCGATATACCTCAATGATCACATTCTTTGATCGCAATGCTGTAATTACGTTTTAATATAAATAAAGTATATTAATATCTAACTAATTCGCGATAATTTATAATACATATCGTTAATTAACATTGCAGCATATATTCAATAATTAACTGCTGAATAATCTGCAGCTAAAGCTACAGAAATGTCTTTCGTAATTCCTCGAAAATGATTGTTTTTAAAGCTACATTGCTTCCGTTACAACAATTCATTTTCGTACTTTTTCGAGCTTTTTGTGAACGACATTAACAAATCTCTACTTACACACGGTTAAACGCAGAAATCACTTATCCTAAGCGATTTATTTTATCGCATTCTTGTACTTATTTTTTAACATCGCCCGTCTTTGTCTCCAGACAATCGTTGACCAGCTTGTGTCTCACGTTCGCTAATCTTTCCGCGCTGATCGCCTGTATATTACTCAGATGAGGAGAATTTTCCAACAGCGTCTTCAAGTTTTGTTTACCGCCCAAATTGATCATGCTGCTACTCTTGCCTTTAAACGCCGATAACGCGGACGTTTGTCTGAAGAGCGATAGTAACGGTAACTCTTTAATACTGGTGGTTCTGCTCGCAAACTTCTTGGAAATTGAACCTTTGTCGAGCTGGTCCGCACTCTCAGTATCTAAAGATCTGGCGGACGATAATAATAAATTCTTTAGTTTTATTGGACTGGAATTGGCACTGCATGGCGCACTTTTTTGCGAATTAGAGCTAGATCGTGACTGCAACAATGCGACATCATTATGCGAACTCTTCAAATGCTGGCTGACAACGGGAGTCGCTGCAACGTGATGTCTCGATAAACTAGATTCCTCAGGCAGGAACTCGACATTAGAAACTTGCGCAACATGTAAATTCGTAAGTTGTACGTGGCTCTTATTGACTAAAGTATCGTTTGTATTACTACAGCTATCTCTTTCAAGTTCTCTATTCGTAACATTGGCATTATAAGGAATATTAATGTCCCAGCTGCTCTGCGTTTTTCTATCCTTAATATTGAATTGAGAGATTTTATTTGGCACGTATTTCGATATATTTGCGCTTCCCGCTGAACCGATGATCTCGAAATTAGACGTACCTCTATTTACTGGACTATTATTCAATGATTTTGAAATATTGCTCTTTGCCAACGTTGATGTATTGCGTAACGCTGTCGTCGAATCAATCGTCGAACATGACATTAGCAAATACGGTTTACCGTTAAATCTGTCCCTTTCGATAGTCCCCGGATTTTCAATTAATCTTGTAAATTGATTTGAAATACGCGGGTTAGATAGTTCAGATAAGGGATTGTAGCACGTCCTGTTTACGGTGCTGACTTCAACTGCAGTGTCCTGCAGATCGGAAGAACTTTGTGCGTTGCGCTTCTTAACACGCAACGAATTCTCGATCGACAAACGATTTAATTTTTCCATACTGGTTTGCAACTCGAGCTCCCATTGCGTAAACTTGCTCTCGCTGCCATCGACAGATCTCTTGTCAAGATGTTCCATATCGTTTTTCGTTGAACAAGGCTTCTGTAAATTATAGATAAATGATAAAAAATGACATTTAAATGCTTCATACAAGATTTATTATTATATATGTTACCAACCTCAATATCATGTAGTTTTTCATTGTTTTCGTTTTCATTATATCTAATGGGAGATGATATTTTATGAATGTCAGAATTGTTGAACTCGCTCTTATACTTTTGATGCGTGTCTGAACCAATAAGCTCGGCACCGACGCCAGGTTCTCGTGGTCCATTAGCCACAATATCTAAAATATCAGTATGATATTTATAAAAAATGAAATAGTTGTTTTTGTATGTCTTTAAAATACATTTCACAATACCATAATCTCTTCGTTGCTGATGAATCTGATTACTAATTTCTTCCAACGTTCGGAGACTCGTTGCGTAATTACGTTTGGCTTCCTTAACAGCTTGTTGCAGGAACTCCACTCTTTCCTTCTGCGTCGCTAACATCTGATCGCATTGAATCTTCATTTCAAAGTACGGTCTCGCTTTTACTATTGCATGTCGATGCTTTTCCTCCAATTGTAATAGCTTCTTTTCGACATCATGGAATAACATCGCCTTTCTGTGATGTTCTCGACCGCATTCGGCTTTTTGATTCTCCGCGTCCATGACCTTCAACAAAAAGTATCATTTTATATTCTATTTGTTATATTAAATTTTTTATTAGAAATTGATTAAATTAATTAACGTGGATGAATTAATTAACGAGGTGAACAGGAATAAATATAACATTAAGATATTTTCAATGGTTCCAAATGTTTCCCAATACTTTGAAAGCAAATTACACGGTCGTCGTATTGTGCGTTTTACACTTATACTTACTTTAATAGTCGCATGATTGAGCATATCCTGCCATGCCTGGTCAAAATTCCACTCATGCTGATGAGACATGAATCGCGCTTCGGCCAGAGCTACTGTTTCCTTTGCCGCTGCGTGAATTTCGCTGGCTCTTTGAAACAGCTGCGCCTGTTGTTGACACTGCACCTGCAAAATCGGAAGAGGAAATGTCTCATTGATTTACTTATATAACACTTCAGCTAATTGTCATTTAACACGCTTAATGCGAAACAACTAGTGTTTATAATTTGCAATATGATAAATTATTTTAAATATGAGATATTATATTCAGATAACAAAGTAATTAGATATTTCTTACCATTATATATATAAATGTATGAAAATTGATTAATAAATTGCACTAAAAAAAGTAAATGATAAATACTTATCATCGTTATAACTTTTAGTATATATATACTGAGTTTTTATAAAACAATATTTTAATTTTAAATTCGGTCCAGTTTTATCAAACCAATCCAATTTTATCAAACCAGCATGAGTGGAATTTCAACTGGGCATAGCAGGATACGCTCATTCATGCTATTATTAAAGCAAGCATCAGAGTAGAACGTACAACGAGCGGTAACATGCTACATTCAATAACAATTCACTTTAATAGCATTGTGAAGCATTTGAAACATGAAAAAACAATAACAAAATATTTATTAAATTCGCTATATATTTTACCTAAATTTTCTAACATTTTATATAAACTCAGTATATACATTTTTATACTTTATTTTTTATTTCATAACGTAATAAAATTAAATTTTATTAGAGATCTGTTCTTTGTATAGCTAAACAAGTACATACTTTCTAGTTAAAATGCGTTTAAAATTTGATAAAAAAGGGAAAAGGAAAATTCTCTCTCTAATGCAGGAAAAACAAACCCTAGACATCTACCTGAGCTTGATGAGCCAACTCCAGTGCTTCGTAATAACATCTTGCTTTCTCAATGCAGCTAGTACCCAATTTATCTGTAATTTCTTTTAGCCTCCTTGTTGTATCCGAAAGAAGCTGTCCAAAAGCAGTGTGGGCTTCCTAAAAATCAATTAAGATTAAATGAATATATATTGCAAATATTACATACAATATTCATTCTCAATTTATAAATATATATATATATATATAACAAAATACTATTCCTTACATCTAACTCAGTCTCCAATTTATTAATATCATCTGCTGCATTATTTAAGTTCTCCAACTCAATCTGGAAAACAAAAATTTATCTTATAAAAATAATATTAAATTTTTAAAAGACTGTCAAAATGTAACAACATAACTAATACGAAACGTATAACAGTCTAGTTAGGATCTTAGTTGCTTATATATAATTTAAATTTATATACTAATATATGTAATCTTTCTAAACTGCGCGCCGAACAATTGTCGGTCTTGAAACGCAACTCTAATAAACTACCGCAGTACTATCACAAATTAAATTTATTAACAATTTAATAATTATTTGATGCTCTTTTGGCATCTTATATTAATGTTTAACGATTTTAAAATCCGAAATTAATATCTTATATATAAATAATATCTTATAAAAAATATCTAATATATAATTTATATAAATTAAAATATCAAAAAATGATCATGTCAGTATGTAATTCTCCTGAATTTTTCTAATTAAAATTAAAATTATATATTTTATGTCATAAACTTTAGAGTTAAAGATCGCTATTTAATTACTGCAATTATTTATTTATTGCAATACTCCAGTATTTCATGAAAAAGGAAGATATTATTCCAGATTAAATTATTATTTAAATTAGGAATTAAATTATAGAAAGAGAAAATACTTTTCCTTATTAATTTCTCTTTTCAGATATAATAACACAGGAAAAATGAAACAAAGCAAAAGGTGTCTCAAGACAGTACCCTTTCTCAATTGTTTCACACAGTCACTTAAAATTTAAATTATACATTGTATGCTGTAAGTTTCAGAGAATTAAGGATCGTTCCTTAATTACTGTCATTTTTATTTTAATCATAACATACCAGTACGCAAAAAGAAAGAACAGAGTATCACTCTTCATATCTAAGTCTTTAGTTATTTTATTACAGACATAAAGAAAAGAATACTTTCATTCATTCATGCTTACATCATTTATTTCTATTTTTACATGTAATAGCACTAAAATAAAAATAAAAAAAGGGGGAATTACTTTAATGTGTGTGTATACCTAAATTTAATTATAGAAAAGAATATTTTTATTTATTTATGCTTATATAATTTATTTCTCTTTTCAGATGTCACGAAAATACAAAAGAAACAAAAGAGAATATTACTTTATATTCGGCATATATCTAAATTTAGTTATTTTGTTGTGCAGAAAGGGAGAGAGAGAGAGAGGGACAATTTTTACTCATTTATATTTACATCATTTATTTCTTTTAGATATAATACCATAATATAGAATATAAAATGAAAAAAAAGAAAGAAAAGAAAGATATTACTTCTCTCACACATGCACATTTATATTTAGTTAGTTCATTATAAGATATCTGTTCTTCTTAACTAAACTTCTTGTATAATTCAGCTATTCTCTTTTCTTTTCTCCAATCAAAAGAAAATGAAAAATGAACAATACAAGATCAGCTGAAAAGAACAGATCTATAATGAACACTTTTATTCTTTTATGTTCACATTATTTTTTTCTCTGTTGAGATACAATATCAAAAACAAAATCAAGGAGGAATAGGCCTCGAGACACGATATTCTAAATCTCGCGCATCTCACGTTCATCCGCATGAAGGAAGGAAAGTGAAAGCAAAGTGGGACAATGTACCAGGCGGTGTTAGGCACTGCGACCGCGAAGAACAGACATAACCTAAAACGCCACGGGCGTGGACCGCGTGGAAGCGAAACCAGACAGAACCGAGCAAATCGTCCGCGAGGTGAAACCTCTCTGTCTCTCGAGATCTCACCTGGATTCGCGGGTCCAGCGCGGCCTCGGCGTCCTCCGCGACGTCCATCCTTTGGCTGGCACGGGCGGCATTTAACGCTAGCGCGACGTCGGGAACGACGTGTCAACTCATGATCGCCCAGCCGCGAAATCCCACGTCGGAGGCTTTTTCCGCCTTTCCTCTCCCTTCCTGACGTGACCCTTCTCAGACTCTGCGATGCGGATGTTTACATCCCGCGACACTACCACCCTCGCGGAACTACTGCGTACAGTGCGTACTTACGAGCGCATAACGCACTCCCACGACGGGACTTGACGCCGATGAGAATCTCCGTAGGCGCGAACGGAGCCGAAGACGCGAAGGGAACGAACGACAAGCCGAGAACGAATTGACGCGTCTGAATTTAGCTACATAGCGGCCAAGACAAACATCACGAACTCGCGAATCGCTGACTCGCGTCTCGATGACTCGATGATGAATCGATCTACACATTCTCCACCCACATCGTCATCATTTTCATTGTACTTCGATGCATCACCCCCATCGATTGAATTGGATCCAAAGGCCGTCCCGATTGGGTGTTTCCGATGGAATTCGCGAGCCGGCCGTCCATCCATTGCACTGTGATGAGAGATCCAGTGGATGGCAAAGTACGCGCGTGAGAGTTGATTTTAGGAGGGGAACAGGGAAACGTTCCCCAAAACAATCGAAACGGATCGAATTCTCTAGAAGACGTCGACGAAGTTATCAGGAGAACATGTCAAGTTCGAAGCATTGACGTGTTTAAACTTGGATGCGTATACATTTCTATCAATGTAGATTAACAATAATTAATGTAAGTTTTATTTATTCTCGATTTAAAGTACTCTACTGTTTTCTAATTTTTAGAACTGGAAAAAGATAAAAAATAATTAGTTAAATAAAATTAAAATTAATAATTTACATTGGTAGAAATGTAGGCATTATTAATGGATATTATTGTAGAATAATTATAGGATAATTATATGATAGGATTATTATATATAGGATATAATTTTGATTTCTATTAATTATAATCTCAAGGAGAACGAGACAATCAAAATAATGTTAATATGACGTCAAATTGACATTATTTTGATTGTTTCGTTCTCCTTGGAATATATTTGCAGTCGGTTTTTATTTGAGATTAATAGATTATCTTTTAAGTATAATGTCTTAAAGATACTATAATATAGCTCTGTGATTAACTCTTGTTACGATATTTTAAGACATGCAAAACCAGCTTGCAGAAAAAAAGTTTTATATAAATTATATATATGTGTATATAAAATATGTCCACGTATACAATACACAATATATAAAGTGTATTTAGGAACGTCAGTAGAAATGGAAATGTAAAGATATTAGAATGATTGTTTTATATATATATAATATATATACATTTTATTATTCATTTTGAATAAATTGTATAAAAAGTACACACACTGAGAACTTAATGTGTTGGTGGCTCATATTGGCAATTTATTTGTTTCTTTTGATTTATTCAACTGAGCCTTTTGATTATCTTATTTTTTATAATGATTGTATTATAATTATAATATGTACTATAATATATATATTATTATTATACAATATTATTATTATGATTATGTCTATAGAAATGGAACAAATAACGCCATCTAGCACAAAGCTCGTGCACCAACAACGACAGCACAGGTCGTGTCGCGATAGTCGGTGTCCAACAATCATGGCGTCTGCCAAGTAACAACGCTCCACGCCGCGTTAACAAGTGCATTACGGTTTTTAGATTGATGTTACCGCGACGCCACGCGCATCATTTCGCGTTCCGCGCCAGCGAATCGTTTTCTACGTTTTTCTACGTGTAGAGGCGCAACTCGGTCCTCGGGCCTCTCCCTAGGAGATTTTTCGCCCGTGCAACGGAGGTGTGTGCAACTAGTGCATCCGCGGCGGCGGCGGTGGTTCGCGACAGCGGTTCATCGCGGTGAGTCACAGAGGCTCGTGCACGCACGCACTTACTTGAGAACCATGAGTCCGCTAATTAACAGTTAATTGAAGGCGGGACGATTATCCATCAGAATCCTGCAGGTTAACCGAGACATTTGCGCGAAAAGGGAGCTGATCATGACGGCCGACCGGTGCCGATTTCTCGGCGTCCGTTCTCCTGTTCCGCGAATCCGATCCGTCCGTCGTTTCGCACTGCCTTTTTTCGGGTGATGACTGTTACTTAACATCCTGGTCTTTTTTTCTTAACATACAATCGCGAATAGGCATGCTAAAGCGGTCAAATCGGTGCACTTCTCGTCAGCGGACTACGTCCGTGGGAAAGTCGGATTTTATATCGTTATGTCATACCATTCATACTCTGATCGACAGGAGTTTTTACGGTGGTATCTGTAGTTTTTTCTTTACGTCAATTGGTGATAATTGTATTGTGATAAATTAAAACCCGATGTGGTGATTTTTACTTGAGTTTATGTGTTATTTATTTACTATAATTATTTGGTTGGATTGTTGTACTTTCAGAATAGGAGACCATTGTTTTGAAAATGCCTACACAGACGGCAGAGAACGATGACATTCGAGTGAAAATTGTATATAATGGGTAATTGTATGTTGTTATAAAAACTGTTTTAAACAGTTTGTCTTCGATTTAACAAAAAAGTAACAATTGATTTCTTTCAAGTTTCAAATTCATATTATTTCGATTTTAATATATAAAACATTTTAATAATTAGTCATAATGATTATTATATATCCTTTGGAACTGACAATGAGAGTACATTAAACTCATTCATTCATAAATTTCTTTGTCAAAAATATCAGAATTCCATTTTATTGTTACATCTGCAAATTTAAACTATTCTTATTAAAATATACTTAGAGTATCCATTTTTTACATTCTTTTTAAATTTAATTCAGTATTTCAGTGTTCTTTTTATTATTATATTAGTTTCTTGAAAGTAATTAATCTCTTTTCCTTTTTAATTAATACAAATGAGTTTTATAAACCCTAAGTTAGTAACTCTGTTATGGATTTTGCCATCAGTTCCAAAGAATTAACAATACACTAGGTGTTTTCAGTGTTAATTCAAAGAGAGATTAATATGGAGTATTGATATTCAAAGTGTTAATTAGGTCAATAAGGATTATACAAATATAAAAAAAAAGGAGATTTTAAGACAAATATGTAATGTGATGTTTTCCTGCATTAGGGAAATACAAATCACGTACATCACTCCCGGGATTTCAGTGGATGCGTTACGCGAGGAAATGCGAACGATATGTGGCTTTGGCACAGAGCAATTCACAATGAAGTGGGTGGATGACGAAGGCGACCCGTGCAGGATCGCCTCGCAGCAGGAATTAGACGAAGCACTGAGGCTGTATGAACTTGAGAAGGACACAGAAATAACCATCCACGGTCAGTCAGACTATTTACATTGGATTTCTTTAAAGTCGTATACATAATAAAAAGCATAGACAAAACAGGAATAGAGAGTAATATAGGTAATAATATTTTAATCTATGGAAACCAACATCAAAAGATACAGTTTCTTATATGTTAAAATCTTATCGCCTGTATTCTCTACTAATACAGACAGTAAAATTTTCAACCTCTGAAAAACCATAGATTTACAGTAAGAGAAAAATTTATTAAATTTTAATGAATTCACTGAAAATAATATTTATATAGTACTAATTGAATGTTTACTAAATGTATACATATATTTATTTGGTACAAGATTCATTAATTTGATTTAAATCATTTTTTATTTAATATAAATATTTACTGTTAGTAAATAAATGTTAGTATTCTTCAAATAAATATTTATTAAAATTTAGTACATTTTACTCAGTGTATTGATGTACAGTTTCTTACAGGTTGAAATTTTATTAGTGTGTTATTCTCTACTAATAAAATAATAAGATTTCAACCTGTGGGAAATCGAGTATTTATTAGTACACAGTTTCCTATAGGTTGTAATCCTGTGTTATTCCCTACTAATACAGATAATAGGATTTTTAATTTATGAAAAAAAAAACAAGTCTTTTATTGATATATAATTTTTTGTACATTGAAATCTCATTGTTGTTCTTTATTCTTATTGTCTGTGCTTTTTATTATGCAATAAGGCTTTACGCATTGGATTTCGCAAATATCTTGTATGTTGCTTTGATTTTAGCGACGCATTAATCACTCAAAGACTACGCATTTGCAATCGACGATAATCACTTGCATGCTAGATACTTATATAATTAGGAACGGAGTACCGTACTCGTGAATCATGCGCGTAGAATCAGCGCCCGGTAGCGAAGGCGCATACATATGTATGTGACAAAATAGGTTCATCGATAATCCACTGATGTCTTTAATATTCCAATATTAATGGCCGCCGTTTAGATAAGAAGCCGCCCATAAATTGCGCGTAACCGATATATCTTGGTCGTGCACATTAGCGGTAGCGCACTAAATGCACGTGTGCAGCCGCACTTTCAAGTATTGATACGCGCCTTGGATAACGGTATGTACACTTCGACGATACTCGTCTTATCGGTGGTTTATCGTCGATATGAGTCGGCGATTAACGGCGAAACAGCTTCATCGGCGCCTGACCGTAGTGCCGGTGTTTATTCGGTACACATTGATCGATTCGGTGTGCGATTTCTCAAGGATGACGACATTCTTGGATCGCGCGTGTCTGCGTGAGCACGAAGATTCTATGTGCAGGCGCATGATACATTTAGAAATTTGTCAGCTCTCCCGGGATATTTTGATATGGATCTCATTTGTGCGACAGCAGGATACTTCTTGGAAGGAGGACCTTATCGTGATCGCGCATACATTTCCGGTCTGATAGACTTGGCTCTCACCTCTTCTTTCACATCCTCTCCACTTAACTTTATAATGATGATCGAATCCCTTTGACGGAACAATCCCTTCGAGCTTCAAAGATTAGGCCTGCCCTTTCTGAATTTCTTCCATGCTTTATTTTTTCTTCAACATGAAGAGAAAAGGGAAAAAAATGAACCATGCAAGGAATTCAGCTAGAAAGAACAGGTCTATTAATGTCTCAAAGAAAAAAATGGGTAACTGTACACCGAATATACTTCCTTGTTTTTTAACGAAGAGGAATTAATTTGCTAAGTATATGGATCGTCGAAAATATCGGTCGTGAACTTTCCCAATTAGAGAACTCTAAAATAATGAGAAAGTACAGCTAATTAAAATACTTGATACTCGAAGGATTACAGAGTCAGGTTGAATATATTGTTCCCATAAATAATTTTCTTATTAAAACGTAGCTTAATAAGATTGCATCTCTTTTCCGGAGTCTAGTAAAAATCAATAATTTGTTAATGAAAACCAAACTTGTGGTACACGAATTTTATTTGGTACATGTAAAATGATCGGACATTGCCACACGAATATCGACAAACTCTCATTGTCAGTTTTTCGATGCATATGACACGCGTCAATCCTTGTAAATGTATAGGTTTGTGCGGTATCGGTCGGATATAGCAATGACTGTATGCTGTCACGAAAGAACGAGGAAGAATCGACGGGGCAGCGGCCGAAGGCGCGGGAAATAGCAAGATAATAATTCAAAGAGACAAACAGCCAACGATCAGAATGAAAAATAAGGAAAAGCCAGAAAAATAGAGCAAAGGATAAAGTAGAATAGGGTGTATTGCGTGTTGCGGAACGGAATAGTCCTTCTTGAAAACCCCGGTAAAAGCAGAAAGATATAAAGGATAGAGAAAAATACAAAAGATAGAGAGTTGTTGACTGGAAGAAATGGAGTTAACGAAAAGGACGGGAAACATATAATGTAATATGAGGCGTCGGTGAGGAGCGCAAAGTTTACTTGAAAACGGTGACAAGAAGAATCGCCGGATAATCAGTGAACAAACAGCAAAGGCATGAAGGAGGGCGAGCGGGAGAGAAAGAGGAAGAGCTTGGGAGAGGCAGAACTTGTGGGTGGATATAGGCGGGTGTAGGACCGGCAGCGATGGGGACGACGGGGGATGCATGTATCACCTCCACCTCGGCGTGATCCGCGTTTGCGCGATTCGGTCGGTAGCGTGCGCCGCGCCGGGCGGCGACGACGACGGTGGCGGCGGTGGCGGTTAACGCATCTCGCCGCGGCGGTAGTCGATATCCTTGCACGGACTGATCAGCAAGGGCGCACATAACGTCACGCGCTACCGTCAACGCGAATCTGGCTGTGAGATCCTTAAGATCGAGTCGCCGCAGGCGGGAGGAAAGTGCCGCGGAGCGAGAAAGTCAAACCGGGAGTCGCCGTAGAGTTGCGAAGAACTTCTTCTGGGCCACGAAGAAGGAATTGCGTCATTGTGCGCTTCGACTACAACGGCGATATTCGACGGTGGTTGTCGGTGCGCTTGACTCGCCACACCGCGAGTGGAGAGAGGTCTCAAAAGAGGCGGTAAACTAGCATTGATCGAGGCTGGTGATTCGCCGCATGCTCATCCCGGCGGCTCCTGTAAGAGGTCGACCGCGGTGAAGGAGAAAGAGACAAAATCGAAAGAAGGGAAGAAAGAGAACGAGGCAAGGGGCGAGGCGGGTAAGGCAATTGCTACATATACATAAATAGAGAACGAGGTAGAGAGAAAGAGGAAGACAGATAGCCGTAGGAAAACAGAGAGGCGAGGCGATCGCGCGCGGTTGGAGCTAACAAAAGGGATATACATACCGCGGCGGTCGAGCAAGGCGAGGCAAGCACGGCTAGACTCGCTACAGAATGGCGTGGGGCTACTGGAGCGCGACTTCCGTCAGCGACCGGGGTCGGTCACCTCGCCGCGAGAAGGACAAACAGCATCAGAGTATTTATCAGCAGCATCAGCCGCCGTCGCAGCAGCAACAACAAATGCACCAGGCGGAGCTGTCCGCGCAGAGCACTTACGCCAGCGTGCAAGAACGAGAAATCGGCGTGGCCGCCCCCGGCGTGGGGGTCGCGACGGAGGAACCACCCTGCAGTATGATGATCCAGGGTGGTTCCTTCTACTCGTACTCGGCGGCGACGGCGGCCGCTGCGGCCGCCGCCGTGAGTCGTCGTATTTCCACCGTCGTCGAAGGTAGCGGCGGTGGTCCGTCCTCTCTCACCTCTACCAGCATGGTGTTACCGCGGGAGCGCCACGTGAGACCCGGCACCAGCACGCATCCACCGTCGCCGGGTAGCGGTGACTCCGCCGAGTACGAACAGCCGCTTGTCGGTCATCTACGCTCCGCGGCCGACATCTCGCCGCCCTCTTGCATCGGTAGTCCGCCACATCATCATCATTACCATCATCATCACCATCACGATGACATCTTCGCGCAGCCTGGCACATCATCCAGGACAACGAAGCTGCTCCAGTGTCCACCGGACACCATCGAGGGTATGGATGAGCTATCCGAGGCCGAGCTCGAGGAAGTGGCGGCAAATGCTGAACTAATTTACGGACCCACCGCGACGTGCCGGGTGCACGGGCCGTGTGGTCAGCAGCAGCTATCGCTGCCACCAGAATCCGCGCTCTCGATGACATCGCTGCTCGACGTAGAACCCGCGGGCCCGTCGCAGTTTCAGTTCAACGAGATCACCTGGGGTAGGTGCAATCAAGGATGGGATGTATTGAAGAAGAGTACCTACTGGTCTCTGGCGCGCGACCAGCTTTGGCGAATGCCTCCTCTTTCTCGTCGTCCTCTTCCTCCTCCTCCTCCTCCTCCTCCACCTCCTTTTCTGTTGTCGTGTTTCTTTGATGCAGCCCGTGATCTAGGTCAAAGTCTGCCTACCCGTCTGTCTACCTTGCCAAGATAATACTCGCCACGTTCTTGTGAGTGTGCGATCGCGTCCGGTGCTCGACGCCGCGACGCCTAGAAAAACGCGTGTTTTCCGGCCACCGCATGACTCGCGGACGCCCTCCTTTCCGCCGGCTTTGGCATTTGTTGACGGAAATTGTCGCGGCTCCGTGACGTTTAGCGCATTGCAGTAATATAAAACTCTAAGTCGGTCACGTGAATTAATTATCGCGACTTTGTCCTCGCTAAAAGTAAGGGTTGCGCTAGTGGTAGTTGCTGTCGAGTTGTCGCTCGGTTTAGTGCATCTTTTTTTTCACGTCGGGTATGATGGATGGAGAAACTTTTTTTCTAGCTATAAGCTATATCACATTTATTCCGTCTAACATATCGCACTTTATCCGATCGCATTAATTTTAATTGATGACATAATTTACACTTTCCACCTTTCGCATTAATTTCATAGTATAATCACGAATATAGTCAACTAGGTCTATTGATTCTTTAAATACGATGCGTATTTTTTATTTATAAATATATATCATGTATCTCGCAGGATCATTGTCGTTTTGTCATAATTCTTTGTAGCGCATTAAGCGACAAAGGTGATTATTGCTTTGACGATTAAATTTCATCTCTTTCTTTTCTAGTTTGAACAATCAAGAGCAACGATTTGTTGCGTTTATTTGAAAAAGCAGAAAAAGCTTTGCAATTGTTGAAAGACTCTTTAATATGATTGGTTTGTATATTTAGATAAGGAAATAAGAGCAAGATCCTTTAAATTCTTTGGAATGGAATCTCACTTTAAGAGGTGAAAATTGAACCAGTTTTATAAAAAAAAATAGCTCAATTTTAAATTTTTAAGTGTGAAATTTATTCTTTAGAGTGAACTCTAAAAAATTTTAAAGAGTATTAAAAAATTTTACAATAGCTGCAAAATTACTTTTTTTTTGCTAAACGTAGCCAGTACATCGTTGTCTAATAGTTTAATTTAAAACGAACGAGAACTCAGTCATATTTAGAAAAGATAGCTTTGCCACTGTTGCGAGTTTCTGTAATATGATTATTAATACATTTAGATCCAGTGAGGAACTAAGAGTAAACGCAATCATATTAAAGAATTTTGCAACAATTGCAAAGCTATCTTTTTTTGTTAAATATAACCAATGTGCATTGTTGTTTAATATGCTTAAATTAGTGCATAAATTAAAATTTAATCATATTCATTTGGCTGCATTCAGCAGAAGAAGCAGTTTTGCAATTATTGTAAAATTCTTTAACATGATTGATTTGTATATTTAGATCTAGTGAGAAATCAAGAGCAAAATTTCAATCATATTAAAGAATTGTATAACAGTTACAAAGCTTTTTTCTTCTGTACATACGTAGTCGATACATCGTTGTTTAGTATGTTTAATTTAGAGAATGAATTAGAACTCTATTTTTGATGCCAGTTACTCGATCTAGTTACGCGAAGGGTTTTCAAGTTTTAAGTACGATCTTCGTCGTTGTGCTTTCCCTCGCATGGTATATGCGCCGATGCACTTATGCACTTACCATATTATAGATCCATGCTTCTAGTGTACCATGCGTTGTCGTCGTCGTCGTCGTGGTCTTATAGTACGTGCATTCCCCATACAGCTCGTTGCACGTATCCCCCATGTTAGGGGTGAGTGTACATCGCATCGTCTTTATCGTTCGTGTCATCGATCCCCCTCCGCGATAATTAGTCCATGAATATTTCAAGGAATTGCGCTCGCCTCTCGCACCGGCATGTTCGCCTCTCGTCCCGGCATCGTCGATACGCGGCCCGTGGTGAGCTCTCTCCTGTGTAACAAACGATTCGATTACGTATATTGTACCAACGGGAGAGCACCGATGGCCTCGTTAGCGAACCCGCGATCGTATGACACGCGTCGTATCCACGCAGTCCTCGCGGCTGCGCCTCGTCTCGTATTCACGTGATAGTGGCCCTACGGAGAGAATCGCTTTAGCAAGACATGCTATTAATTTTTCCCAAACGATGAATTCCCTATCAAATTCCGTATTTAACAGATCTCGGCGTTTCCATAATCCAGACATTTAAATTGTTAATGGACTAATAAATTGATTATAAATCCCTGTTTTAAATGAACCGATTAATGCGCTCGTTCCGCTTGCATAATTCTGCATTATTCACTTATGAATTTATTTGACCTGTGCACTTCATATAGACAGAATCGATTTAAATTCATTTAAATCTCTTTTTGGTAAATCTATTAACGAATTCGTGCTATTGATTGTTCCATAAGTCTGTTGTCAGTCAACCTACATCCGTCGAGTATCGCTCGAGCCTGAATCTATTTTCGAGTTCTGCAAAAAGATCGGCGGTTTCACCTGATTGAAGCACATGCCTTCAGACAAAAACCTTTTGTCCGCTCGATCTCTCGTTGTGACCTTCAGTAATAGTTTCTTCGGCTTTCTACTTCAGCTTTCTTCGATCTTCCTCTCAAATCTCTTTTCGCGGACCGCGATGCACCAGCTGGTCCAAGCCGTTCAAATCCGGGTAGCCGCTTTAAGGCATTAAAGCGAATAATCCAGAACAATTTGCGGCTTCAATTTTATTTCACTCATTAACCGTGCCGGCTTTTATTTCTTTCCGAGTTTCATAAAGTATCTGCCTGCGACGCACGACACAATATACTTAATTGTATATTTAATCATCATTCTATTATACGCACCGTGGGAGCCTTCTGATAAAGGGCTCATGTCCTCGCTCGTCCTTCGCTAATTAGAATTTATATGGCGCTTGTGTAACCGCTGCTGAGCGGTAGGATTAAAGCCGACGGCGTCGCGAGTAACGAGATTAAAAATGTTCGCGGGAAATTGTCCAGGACCTTCGGCGAAGGTTTTCGCACGCGTGGTTGCGTCGACTTCGCGGCTTTTATCGGCGCAAAGTGAAATTTAATCGCGAACGCACCTCTCTCTTCTCTCTCTCCCTCTCGCGATAAGTGAGTGATAACGCGACGCTTGATGGCACGGATAGAATTCAGTGTTACTCGTTATCTGACCGTAACCGGAGCGATACTGACTAGGACACAGGCAGCCATACAAACACAGTATGTTGGACAACGAGCAGCGAATCTCGATCGGGTTCCGGTACTCGAATTGCTTCCCGTGTAAGTTCGCATTCGACACTTTACCGATTCCCTTGACGGGATGGAAGCGGGAGTGGAGTGGCGTCGATCGACAACTCGATGTCTCGTCGACGAATTAAATACGCAATCTTAGATCACTGATCGCTTTGATACTAGGAAGCATGATTTTACAGCGTCTTCCTCTAGATATTTCTAGCTCAGCGGTTTCGCTATTAATTAGTAATGTAGTTGTACACAAACCGTTTCTTCATTTCTCTCAGACATCGCGTGTTATAATCCATTAATCTTGTTAGATCTTTTTTGAAATTTAATTTCTTTTTATCAAATGTATATATATGATACGAGACGATGAGATAGGCAATAAACATTACTGTTTAATCTATCTAGAGTTTCTACTTGGCAGTAGAAACTCCAGATTCATTTCCATCGTATTTTCAAAACTTTGTTGAACGGAAGCCGGAGAGAGGAGAACGTTACGTTTTATCAGCAAAGCGAACGTGAATTTTCTGTTTTGTTACAGTTTTTCCGAACGTGCCGCCTGCCCCCGGGATGCCGTGCCAGGGAGAAGACAGTGAGTGTGTTTACTGTTCATTGGAAACGTCTCAGTCGCCGGCCGAATCGCGCAGCTCCTCGCTTGCGCTCGATATATATATTAGCCATTGCGTACTAGCCAGCGAGTTCTAATTAACCGTCCGGTGGAAAGAAACGATTAGCGCGCGATAATAGATACGATGCGTAACTCCGTTACGTGCGGAAACAGAAGAACTGTAGAAGAAACATTTATCTTTCGACACCCCGCTCTTTACCAAAGTTCTCCTTTCGACACAATTTTCAATCACAATCTTCATGACATCAACATCTGCATTACACATCAGAAAAGCTCCAAGGCTCCTGATCCTTTGGTGCAGCTACGGAAGATTGAATTTGTATTTATATCTTTTTACATATCGCGTATCTCGTATTCGATAAAAAAACTTATGAAATATGTCTTTTTAGTTTGTGAATATAACGGGAAATTTTGATTAGTTGTAAGATCTATTTTTTCTGATAATATAGGATATGCAAAAATTGAATTAATTTTTTATAATTTAATGAATTAATTTTGTTGAAATGGTTTCTTTTTAAAAAAAAAGATGAAGAAAAGAATTCGCACATGAATGCCGCTAATTCGCTGCAAGAAAGAGTCAGAAACCTTAAAACACACTCGTTCGTTATATTGTACATACAGTCATTCGATAATCGCCGAATAGCTACTAAAGATTCCATCGATGTCTCAACGACCTGAGGAAACTTAGAAATCCGGAAATAACTGCATAAAAATGATTGGAAAAATACTTTTGCTTTGAGTCGCATGGTTTCAAGGGTGTAAATAATTTTCATTAAGGTTTCCTCGAATCCCTGATATCGGAGCCGATATTTGGCGATCACTCGTGTATAAAGCATGAATTAAATCCGATCAACCGTGACTCTTCTCCGAATCCTTTAGAGTTGTACAAACTTGCCATCATTCCCGCGCGCGTATTCACCGTCAACGCTGCATGAAACACATTTCGCACGAAATGTTGTTTCCCGTTTGCATCGATTCGCTTCGTTCGTTGCGATGAAGCCGCACGTTGTTCGATTGCGCGACCGGTGAATCATGACCAGGCGAAAGGAGAGAGAGGATGGTAGCGTAAAATCAATTTGCAAAGTTATTCGATATTAATATTCGACGATGAAACTTTACTAACAAAATAAAATTCCTAAACACATTTGACCAAAAACTTTATATGAATAATATAATCTACTATTATTAAATCTAATCTACTATTATTCATCTTACAAGATATTATATAAACGTTTTTATAAAGAGAGTGCAGAGAAAATACTCAGAGAAAATTATCTTCGAAATTGAAAACTATATCTGAGGAAGACAGTTAAAGTTCCATTGATTTTTGTCAATAGAGCAAATTACAAAATAATTTAATTAATTACTATATTACTGTATTATAGAGATTAATATTAATAGTTCATTTAATAATTAATAGATGCTAATTGTATTTGTATTATAATGAAGTTTCATCGTCATTTGACACAGATGGATCGCGAAAGTCAATCGCGGCAAATTGATCGATCAGTTGGTGCTTTCCATCATTGTGACATTTATGTTATTTCATTTTCCGAAGGAAGCATCTACAGACGTGGCGCTCGTAGGTGGAGGAAGCTGTACCGAGTGAATGGCCATATTTTTCAGGCGAAACGATTTAATCGGGTAAGCATCATTCCATTTAATTATCATTGCGCAACCTGTACTGTGATCATTAGCCCCCAGTCCTTCCCCCTCACCTCGCTCTCTTTCATATGCAATTTTTGCGAAAGTAGATCTGTCGCAGATGCGATAAGATCAGCGAAACCGACGTTCTGTGCAGAGCAGTGCTCTCTTGTAGAGCACTTCCAACTAAAACTTGCTGGCTAGTGACTTCGTCATCGACGAAGGAAACTGAAGGGAACATTGCTCTCTTTGTCCTTTCTCTCTCTCTCTCTCTCTCTCTCTCTCTCTCTCTCTCTCTCTCTCTC